ATGGTCCATGTACGACATTATTTATTGTCATGCTCACTATTCATATTCAACATTATAATGTTGTCGGTTTGAACTTGCAAGTATACAAGTGCCGATATCGTAATAAAATACCGGTAAATACCGGGTCGATCCACAGGGAAATGGTTGATATTATAAAGTCGAGTATTGAATGCAAAAGAATATAAATGGTATAGTTTTTCAGAAACTTTGCTCTTGAGATTGGTTTAACAAGAATAAGAATTACTAAGGCAATCGGGATTCACCTAAATGCTTTAATAGGATTTAATACCAGTTGTTTCCCAATAATTATGAATACGATGTCGCTAATATATTCTCAACTCCGGTTAAGGTAGCGAGAGCGTGGTTTTCGTTACGTGTAAGTCCCGTTACGGCTTACATTCATCTACTGAAAACCCCGTTGAATATCAAGACATCACACCCGTATCATATAAGACAGAATATATTTCTATTCTCGGTACTATATATGTTTATCCTTTAATGTTCATAGTTTAGACTTCAACGTTAATTGCAAGTATAAACTAAATTTAACATACTTCTATGTTGTACACCATAGTCATAAACAATCAAAATATAAAGGATAAATCACAATTTATTGGTTTAGAACTTTTATCAAACACTTAATGGGCATAGAGGTTCATCCCTAGCCTTAGCTAAGAAATTAGCCTCTAATGCTCATATTAATCAACAAACAATATGAAATGTAATGGAACATGAAATTACAAAAGAAATAATACCTAAACACCAATGATTTCGGAGGTTGAAGTCTCCTCCTCAAGAACTTGAAGAAAATACCAAGTACAAAAATATAAAAGCTAGGAATTAATATATGGAATGGAATGTGTTTGCTTGATGAATTGAAGGCTTTATATAGGCTAAAGAATGGCATCTTTTAGTCTATTCGAGCCCAACAATCAGGTATGGAGCAATATTTGATCAAGAGATGAGGAAGATGAAGTTTTCCTATCAAAAATCCTCTTGCTCGTTGCTGTGTTTTAGCAGAAAATCGTCCCAACCGACCCCGGTCAGTCTAGAACTGGCCCCGGTCGCAAACAGGCTCGTTTAGTGCAAAAATACCTTCCGACCGGCACCGGTTCATGATTGACCGGCGCCGGTTGTTGCGCCCAAAAATGTGCTTCCTTTCTCTTCCTCTTTTATTGATCAAAAAGTGTCATTTTTTGCCTCGGGATTTTGGGGATGTTCCGCTATGAATTTGGACATGATTCCTTCACCAAAGTTGTAGATAATGAAGTCTTCTATCTACCAAAACTTGAATGACGTGATTTTATTCATCCAATCAAACGTTATGACCAAAACACTGAGAGGTATGCATCCTGAAATCCCACCAGCACATCTGACTTTGTTGGTTGATTGAGTCTTGTTCCTTTCATATTTTGGCCATGACGTCTTCATAACATTTGTACCTTATTGAGTTAACATTCACATGAAATTCGAATAGAGTGATTTCGAGTTCTCTACAATACGTTATACTCAAATTATGGGCAGAATGTCATCCTCTTGGTCTAAAAAACCGTTCATCACATTGTTTTATGCTTTAGCTCTCATTCTAAAGGTATTTGTCCGATTTCTCTTCTTTTCTTCAACAAATACTGATAAATACTTATGTTAAACACAAGTAAATATAACGGCTATCATAATGTCATGTTCATTATCTATATTCAACATTATTCATTAGAGATATTACCCGAAATAGGACTAAAAAAGTTTGCAAATTCCAAAATAGGACTTCTATGTTTTTATTTCAAAAATAGGACTAATTACTGCCATGTTTTGGCAGTACGAGACTTCATACATGGCAGCATTTTCCAAATTTGGCAGTAATTAGTCCTATTTCGGGAACTTCCCCTATTTGTTATCATTTTCATTGCCCATGTATTTTGCACCACAAACCCTAATTCCTAATTTTAAGAAATAGACAAAGAAGAAATCCACAAAACCTAATTTCAAAAAAATAGAAAAATAATGAGAATTGTGGTTGTTGAGGAGATCCACTACCTACTCAACAAATTACAACAAATTAATTAAATCAAAATTTTACCTTATCCCCCACCTCGAGAAACGAAACACATCGTTCTTATGTCTTAGGCAAAATGACTTTCGAGCAAATTATATCCATCGTTCTTCTTGCTTCACTAGAGACACAAAACCAACACGAAGACAAGATGGATTAATAGAGCGGCCTAATCTACCTAATCAGACCTCCACATGTGTCGGTCTTCATCCATATTGTCCCCAATCGACCTATCGATTTGTTCAGATGCATGCAGAGGGCGACAGAATCGACGACAAGGAGTTGCAGAGGGCGGCGGCGGCAAGTGGCCGTGCATCTGGGCGGCGGCAGGCGGCCGTGCGTCTAGGCGGCGGCTGTGCAGTACGTTGTTCGCCTGTGTGGGGGCAGACTAGAGGCATCGATCATTGGCTAGGGTTGAGAAAGTTAGCTAACATTTTATAATTACAATTAAGGGTATATTGGTCCATAAAAACTATTTATTTATTTATTTAGTAATTAATTAATTAATTAGGACGAATTCAGATATTATTGTGGGAAAAAAGTACTAAGGTCATAGATTGAGAAAGAAATAGAGTTTTAGTAATATTTAGGGTAATTACCTCAAGTTAATGAGGGGGTTGACCAGTTTGAGTTGTCTCTAATTTTTATGACGAGTCTTTAAATCACCGGACAATGAAGGAACAACCAAGATGTAACGCATACATGTCATTATTAGTATTTATTGATTATATTAATTCAGGACCGCTAGATAACATTATGGGAGATGAGTGCCATATTGTTTTATGAAGATGACAATGGACGGTCAGGGGCGGATACACACACATGGTAATGGGGGCACATGCCCTGAACAAATTCTAAATTTTAGCTTTATAAAACCATATTTTTATTAAATAATAATGGGGTGCCCCCAATAAGAAAAATCGGATGCCCCCAATAACAAAGAGAGATTTGCCCTCATGTCAAGAACAATACGTACAAATATTGGGTGATGCGAATGATTTTTTTTATTATGTATTATTTTAAAGTTTTTAGTTTTTCATTTTTTATGTGTTTTTTTATTTACGTGTTTATTATACATACATATTTTTATTGTTTTTGTGGTTTTAATATAAATTTAAAGCATGAAGAGAGTATATAAACTACTCATACTTTGAAAATATTAAAAGAAATAATTACAAATATATTATCAAAATATGAAAAGTAGACAAAAATGTGACTCAATAACTTTGAGTGACTATAGTTATATTTGAGTATAATACATCTTAGTGACTATAAAGTACCCTTAGTTATATTCACTATAAATATACTTTTAGTCACTAAAAGTTACGGAGTATTAAATACCATTTTTGTCTATGAGTGTTATTCAGTTCAGTTATATTTTAGGAAAAAACTTCATACTCCGCATAAAACTAGTCCTATTTTTACATTTTAAAATTACTAAACTCTTATTTGAGCTATATTCCACTAGCTCTAGACACATTTCTTTCTATTTTTCTCAAATAACTTGGTACTTCATGTGCCCCGTTCAAAGATTCTAAATGCAAAATGACACTATTGATTGGATAATAATTAAATATGACAATCCGAGTATATTTTAAGAAATAATTTTTATGATTATATAATATAATGAGACCATTGATGATAAATGTGGTGTTACAGATGTATTAGTTTCAATATCTGATGATTAAATTATCATTTAAGAAAATTAATTGTTTCTTAAAATATAAATGATAACCTTTAAGGATGTTTTTACTTGGACTGTAATTTGCTTGTTTGGTTTGGTCTAGTCTGAACTGGTCTGGTCTGGTTTCTTTGTATTTTTATAACTATTCAAGTCTGGTCTGATCTGGCCTGGTCTGGCCTGGGACAAATTACCGTCCAAGTAAAAACATCCTAAGTGAGACGTCCCAAAAACAAAATTGGGAACCTTAGAATGGGAAGAATGGAGTATTAGATAGGGGTGGGCATAACGGTTTGGTTTAACCGAACCAAACTGTACCAAACAAAAACTAAACCGAACTAAAACCGGACCGTATGTAATTTGGTTTGAGTTTGGTACTATTTCTTCCAAACCTTATTAAACTGAACCGAAACCGAAAAAAACCGAAAAAAATCGAACTAGAGATATTCAAAAACCCCTTCATATATTATTAAAATTAACAAATCCAAACCAAACCGAAAAATAGTATGGTTTTTGTTTAGTAATAATTCTTCCAAGCCTTTCCAAACCAAACCGAACCGGAACCGATAAAAACCGAACTGAAAATCGATGTGCTCAGCCCTAGTATTAGAGTAGCTTCGTCATTATATGTATATATTAGCGGTGCCCCCAATAACAAACTTTTCTGGATCCGCCACTGTGGACGATTAAAACTGCTCCTACTTTTCCGTTAAACGAGTCGGAAGTGACGAAACATATGAATGAATTAATTTTAACTCTTTTAAATTGCATTAGCAGGTGATGTAAATAGGCACACATTCTTACTCACTATCTGAAACACACACTCTAGTTGAGTGATACTCTTAGACTCATACATGATTATCTACAGTATACATCCGTTTCTATCAATTCTTCAATTCTTGCAAGTTAACTTAATCATTTGCTTACATCCGTATATACAAATCATATTTACGTAATTAACTTACAAAAAATAGACTAAACAATGAATAAATAAGAAAATTTTGAAACATTTTGTGAGATGGATGATATATGAGGCTATGAAAAGAAGAGAGAGTGTCAGAGTATGTAGTTACATTGAAGATAATCTAAAATTGAAAATATACTTTTCATCTCGAGGTATGCTACGATTTGCGTAGGAATTCATTTCTTGTGTTTAGTTTCATCGTTATCACGTCAGAATGGAATTTTGAAGTTCACACGTCACATGAAAGAATTTGCATTCTCATAAATTCCGCAATTTTATTTATTGATTTATTTAAAAGAAGAAAACAATTCCAAACCCGTGAAGCTCAGTCAACCCGACGAGCAAGCCGGTCCCCATATTTTGATTTGTTTTTTCAATAAAAATGTGCGGAAGCATTTTAGGAAGACTCCTAAAACCCTTCAGGAAACTCAGCAGCGTAGTTCCTCTCGCCATCGTCGCGTCTGCCGCCGCACCCCCTGGCCACTGCAACTCCGCCGCTATGAGTGCCAAAGCGCACCATAGAACCAGCGTCTGCATCATCGGAAGTGGCCCCGCTGCCCACACTGCTGCCATTTATGCCGCCCGCGCGGAGCTCAAGCCCTTCCTTTTCGAAGGCTGGATGGCCAACGACATCGCCCCCGGCGGTCAGCTCACCACCACCACGGATGTCGAGAACTTCCCCGGTTTCCCTTACGGTATTATGGGAATAGAGCTTATGGATCACTGCCGCAAGCAGTCTACTCGATTTGGGACGGAGATCCGCACCGAGACCGTCTCTCATGTGGACTTCTCTTCCAAGCCCTTTAAGGTGTTCTCTGACGAGAGGATTGTGGAAGCGGATGCCGTGATTGTCGCGACTGGCGCGGTCGCCAAACGGCTAGAGTTCCCCGGCTCCGGATCTGGAGAAAATGGCTTCTGGAACCGTGGCATATCCGCCTGCGCCGTCTGTGACGGTGCTGCACCTATTTTCCGCGACAAGCCCTTGGCAGTGATCGGAGGTGGTGATTCCGCCATGGAAGAAGCTACTTTCCTGACAAAGTTCGGGTCGAAAGTTTACATTATCCACAGGAGAGACGAGTTTAGGGCTTCCAAGTTTATGCAGAATAAGGCTCTCAGTAATCCTAAAATTGATGTGATCTGGAACTCCTCTGTGGAAGAGGCCTATGGAGATAAGAAACTTGGAGGACTCAAAGTGAGGAACTTGGTTGACGGGCAAGTCTCAGACCTGAAGGTTTCTGGCTTGTTCTTCGCCATTGGGCACGAACCCGCCACCAAGTTCCTGAGCGGGCAATTGGAATTGGATTCAGATGGGTATGTTGTTACCAAGCCCGGGACTACCCTAACTAGTGTGAAGGGTGTTTTTGCAGCAGGTGACGTCCAGGATAAGAAGTACAGGCAGGCTATCACTGCTGCTGGATCAGGTCAGGGATTTTCCACTGCTTTAATATATTTATTGTCTGGTTTCTTGAATGTTGGTGCATCTTTTATTAGTGTTTTGGACTTTTGGTTTATATGATAAGGATGAATGTCATTGGAGAAACTTTGCATTCCACTTGGGTTTTGTGAATCAGGGTCCATAGTAAAAAGTTGCTATATTATCTAAACAGAAAAGTTTGTCGTCACGTCTATTTCAGTCAAACAAACAAGTCAAAAGCTACTTAATCTGCATTTTATGATTATTATTCTGATTACTACGCTGATAAGCTAATCGGTTATATAAGCTGGCTACCAAATGGTGTGCAGTTGTTGCAAGGTCGAGGGATTATCAACTCAGAATAAACTCGAGAGGTTATAAAAAGATACACGTTCACAACATTTATATGAAAACAATACTGCTTCTCGTTTTAAATTAATAGCCTGTTGGTTTTTCTTTAAGCAGGCCTATCTTTTCAAAACAATTGTTTTGAAATATATTTTACACATAATGACATAAGCATGTGATTTATTTTCCAAAAGTTTAGTCAAGGATACTTTTTTTATCAATAAAGATAAAGATGCCTAAATTAGACTGTTGTATTGGTGTTTAAAAGTTTGTATGCATCAACATCCGAGCCTAAATCCCAAAAGACTTTGGGGTCGGCTAACATGAATCGATTCATGATATCAGAGCCAAAAGAGAAGAAAGAAGAATAAAAAATAAAGTAAGATAAATCGGATAAGATGAAGATAAATATAAAATAAACAATAACATAAGAACATAAGAAAGATAAAAGATAAAAATAAAAGGTCATATGAAGGATAGAAGATAAAAAACATAAGAACGTAGAAAGATAAACAAGATAACGGATAAAAGAAAAAGGAGAGAAAAAAGATAGAAAGGAGATCAATCGTCCAGACGAATGTGCGTCCATCACTTTGCTCTCTCCAAAGCTATATTCTCATCCAATCCAAGAAGACGCATATTAGTTCTGATTTCTCTAATTCAAGTCAGTTTGGGTCTTCCTCTCCCTCTCCTCCTCGCATCATCTCTCTATCTCTCAAATCGTCTAACATGCACATCACTATATATAAGGTTGTCCACTGCCTTAAAAATGGTTCCTATTTAAAACCATATTTGTGTTTATCTTAAAGCTTAACATGTGAACCACCAGAATTTGTCATGTACCCACAAACACTTCTACATAAAATTTAAAGGCGGCACATTACAAGTGTAAAATGTTAACTTTTGAATATAACTCTCTTTAGTCTCCTCACAGAGACACAAACAACCCCGCACATTACAAGTGTAAAATGTTAACTTTTGAATATAACTCTCTTTAGTCTCTTCACAGAGACACAAACAACCCCGCCCCTTACTATCCTAGTTGCATGGTTGTTGTAGCCTCTTCCATCCACCCCATCCCGTCTGGTGTTGGCAAAGCTTATGCTGCATGTTTTGTTGCTGTTTGTTCTTTGAGCAGCACCGGTGTGAGACGGTCTTACGGAGCCCGCTTGATAAGTCCGTATTTAGACACGCATTTGATGCGTGTTGAGATCAGCTTTTGTTGGTTTTCCTAGCTTTAAGGTGTTACAAGTCTTAATTTAAGGTGTTAGTTCGAGTTTTGTGTCATTTGGAGTCAAAATCAGTAAATTTGAGCCTGACACTGGCACTTGAAGAGCAATCGGGATGAGTTGAGAAGCATTCGAGAATGATTTAAGAGCTTTGGAGGTCAGCGGGAGGTTTAAGATGAAAATTTGATGACAAAAGAACTCTAGGATTGGCTACGGGTCAAAAGAAGATGAACAAAGCTTGAAAACGATGATCAGGATGACCTTCTAGGAATCGTTCAAGCATTTCTCTTTGTAGAAACATTCAATGTACACGATTCAACTTCCATATGAAAGCTAATTTCAAGGGCTACAAATCATATGAAGACATCTTTGCGAGAATCTGAGAGGAAGAAGGTGAAAACAGACGATGAAGTCAGATGATCCCTGTTGCGATTTCAGAATGCGACCTTCCACCGTTTTGATCATATCTCTTGATTGGATGATTCAAATCGCATTCGGCAAGTTGTGGTGGATAGAGGACTTCATTATCTACAACTTTTGTGAAGGAAGTGTCGTCAAATTCGGAAGTTAAGTAGGCATGATCGTGCCCTCAAAGTTAGGCACAATCGTGCATGAAGAGAAAGAACCGCGGAGCTACTGCCAGTCAGGCACGATCGTGTCTGGAGGGAGGCATGACCGTGCTTGCCCAAAACGCGCGATTATGCTCCGGAGGGACGGTCAAAGGCACGGTCGTGCCTGGCACCGTGCCTGCCTCCGGAAATCTCAATTCAGCTCAAATTTGACCCGATTTTTCTATTTAAACAGTCTGTAAACCCCCGTTTTGAAGGGGGGAGCTTAGAGAGAGTGCCTAACCAGAATTTTAGAGGGGTTTTCAGCCTTGTTCATCAATCTTTTGGTATTCTTTGTAAGTTTTATCTTTTTAATTAATAACAATTAATTCTTTTTATTTCAATTCTATTGATTCTTCAATTATGAATTGTGAGTAGTTTTAATTAGGAATTTGAGATTGATGAAGGGGTAGATCTTGATCTATGGATAGATTCTTGATAGGTTAATTGCATGAATGCCGTTTAATTTGTGTTTGAATAATTTAATTAATATCTTTTGTAATCTGGAACCGCGGCTAGAATTCAATTGCTTGTAGAATAAGTTAAGAGAGATCTAATTTATTCTAGGACACATTCACACACACTTAATCGTTCGCTAAGAGATTAGTAGCGACTAGCGATTAAGGGGCCGCAAGCTCGCTCGTCTTGCCAATAATTTAGGATCATGTCGCACGAGATATCAGCTTGGTCCCCTAAATTATTGTACTCTACGCCGCGAGAGCGGTAAAAACTTAGTAATGATTAGCTGGGCTCAATTACATTAATTTCGTGTAATTAGGCCTGATCTGCCAGAAATCTGGTTACCCCGGAATCAATCTATGTTCCCTTCGTCATTAATTAGAAAGAACCCCTTAATTTAAACGTTTTATTCACATTTTAATTGTCCATCAACCATTCTCGCACGACGCTTTTATTTTATTTATTTTTAATCGCTAAATTTAATTAATTCTTAATTCCCTTTTGTCTGTCCCTTTGGAGACAATACTCGTACTTACACCCTATACTACGATCTATTTTAAGTGCGAGAAAACTCACATCACCGCTCTTGTTAGACCTGTCACTTTTCAGCTCAAAACTAATACTTTGGATTGTGAAAAACTATTAGTAACTCGTATCACTTTTGGAAATGCTCTATATGCAGAAGTGATACTGTGATAGCTTATGGTGCAAAAAGGATTAGTTTTTTTTAGCTAAAAGCGAGCTTAAAACTGATTAGTACAAAAGCATTGTAATATGTATTCATTGAGTTTGAACTGTTTCCCAATTCAAAACAAAAAAATATATATTACTGGTATTCCATTAAGAACTTCTGTTGTCTTAGGGAATAAGAATATTGCTTCTTCGCTTTGAGTCTTGTATTTCTATGAACTCATGGATTCCCCTAGAGGCTAGAAATATGACCTTACCTGTCTGCAACCTCCTGTTTATGTTTTTATACAAGTTTTGACTTGATGCCTTAATGCCTTCGGAAGATATTCAAGTAACCCGCCTTGACTGCCCAACTACCTGGTGGGCATGAATTTTTTTGCATGGATTTTATTTTGTCCATTACTCCATTAGTTGTCTAGTAAGCAGTTAAGCACTGCAAAGCCATGCAATAAAATAAAAATAAAAACTGAGAAGTTTTATGTCCTTGAATGGATATGAAATTCAAACTGTCACAATCAGATTCATCATGGGATTATGTACTTGAATTGAAAAGATCAGGAGACTAGACACTAGTTGAAATAACTGTTATACTCATGCCCTATTGTGAAATCATATAAAATGACTGAAGCTATTCATTCGGTGTTCTCTTATGAAATTTGCTATGGAATTTTAAAGTTCATCAAAATTTAGTCGCACTGTGCCACCATCAAGATGTGGTGTAACCTTTCTTGCTTTCGTGCAGGATGCATGGCAGCATTGGATGCAGAGCATTACTTGCAGGGAATTGGTGCCCAAGAGGGAAAGAGTGATTGAGTGCGGGATTCTTATAAAGCAGCAGCGTTGAATTTGTTTCAAATCTCATAAGAACTTGCCTATGTATATTTAATATCTTTTAATTGTTATACGGTCATTGGGTAGAGAAACCGGCCATGCTGACCTCCCCTTGGTTGGACACTTTCACTTGGACGTTATTATATTCCGAAGCTTAATTACTACGGAGTATTCGATTGCAATATATTCAATGTACTTAAACTTCAAAATCTTACTGCCTTGTTTGTGTTTGTCTTGGTATAACTTAAAACTTACTCCGTAGAAATCAATTTTCTTTGCTGATGTTCACCCCTATCCTATTAGGCTGTTACATGGCATTTCAATTCGTTTTTCTTCTTGCAACTGCTATAGCTTTTCCATTTATGGTTCAATTTTTTAAAAAATGTAGGCGCATATTGTATATGAATATGGATTGTGGTAGATTTTTGTAATACATAGACTTTTTATGAGTGAGTTCGGTTTATTTACATACATCTTTTGATTTCAATATAAGTTTAAACAAGAACTATGTTAAGTAACATGTATAAGTCTAAACATCATAAAAATTTAACTATATAATTACACAAAATGACAAAAGGTAATAAAAAATGAAATGAAATAATGTAACTCATCTAGCAAAATAGGTCTTGTTTTGGACCATTTTATATTATACTGGTAAATGAGTAAGAATGATAATCATTACGTAACTGTCACCTTGCGTTACCATGGTTCTTTTTTGTTAATCCCATGTCAAATTTAAAACGTCATTTCAACTCTTTTCCTTAAGCATCCCATTCACTCAACCCTTCACTTCTGATAACCAACAATAGATTCAAACCTTAACCGTATAACTTCAACCAACCAATTGTCATGCTACTGTGCATCCACTCTCCTCTCTTACCTGCTACTCCTATTATCCTGTTGGCCTTACTGCTACTCTTACAAACAAGGTACATCCTGCATACTTATTACTTTTATCGTTTTGGTTATTATAAAATACATATTTACGGGTTGCGATTGTTCATTACTTTCTTGTTGATCTAATTCCTTTTTACACAACACACTCATTCATCAAGGTTACTCTGCACATAGTATGTACTTTATGCACGCAGTGTTCATCAAAATGCCTCATGAAGTATAGAACATGCATATCATGAATTATTGAATGTGTTATAATTAAAAACTTTTTCTTTATCCTCAATACATATGTAAACTACAATAAAATTAGTTGTCTGCTATGCTTCTGTCAAATTCTGAAACACGACTTATCACCGCATACTTCATCTTACTACCACTTTCACTTTTGCTTTAAAAAAATGAAAATACCTTGCAGTTATGACCGTGTCAAAATTCTTAACCAAGTGAAGTAGAGATTATTTGAACACTATCAAAATTGCAGACAGATTATAAGATAGAAGGAGATGCAATTTGTGTTAGCATACTTAAGTCTACAAATATCAATTAGAAGGCTAAAGGGTCAAATGGATACATGAACTAACTTTAAGTGTTCAATTAGCCCCTTATATAGGAGGTTCAGCCCGGCCATCGCCTATTGGGGAGGTTCCCGGTTGAATTTTTTGATGAAATTTTTTGAGCATCTTCTTCATTAAGTCTAGTTTACCCATACCAAATTTCAGCTAAAAATTCAACCGGGAAGATAATCAAATGATTTTCCGAAATGTATTGTGATGTTTAACTATGCAGTTATGTTCAAAAAATCATTTGACTGCCTTCCCGATTGAATTTTTAGCTGAAATTTGGTATGGGTAAACTAGACTTAATGAAGAAGATGCTCAAAAAATTTCATCAAAAAAATCCACCGGGAACCGCCCTAATTGGCGACGGCCGTGCAGAACCTCCTATATAAGGGGCTAATTGAACACTTTAGGTTAGTTCATGTACCTATTTGACCCTTTAGCCCAATTAGAATACTACTTTGAATCTCAACTTAATAGGAAGAAGAACCAATAGGGAATTCATTAAAGACCGTATAATCTTTTGACTTTCAAATGCAAGTAGATGGAACGATATGATTTTTTAGTCAGAGTATGAAATTGTTAAACTAAGTGCCCAACCTCTTGCATCAAAAGACATCTCTAAAAACAACATTCGCTATAAAATAAAAACAACATTTTTTAGTCTTAGGAAGAGTTAGACAGTACTAAGTGCAGGAAACAGGTTAAAAATCACACACATTGGGGAAAATTAATAGTTAAATAAATTCTGTAATTATTATACATGTTTGATTCAGGGTAACAAATTCCATATGATCTGAAATACTATGCTTAAAGTTTTTGTAAATCTCTTTTACCACTACTTGTAGGTTCTCTTTTTTACTATAGAAAAAACATTTGATTTAAGAGTTAAAAAACAGAAATTGCCCTAAATAGGAGTAAAAAGCTTTTGAAATTCCAAAATAGGAGTATCATGTTTTTTATTCCCTGAATAGGAGTAATCTGCCATGTTTGGGAAAAAATGTCATGTTTTAATGCCTTGTAATGCCAAACTTGGCAGAAATTTACTCCTATTCAAGAAATAAAAAACATGATACTCCTATTTTGGAATTTCTAAACGTTTTTACTCCTACTTAGAGAATTCTCTCGTTAAAAAATACTTCCCTTTAGTTATCTAATAAGATTACATTTATGTCATGTTACCGGTTAAATGACTGTTATTTAAAATTGTCAAATGATATTTTAACTTTGAAAAGTAAGAGGACAAGCAACGTCCGTAAACAAACCTTACATTCTGCATGGCCCTTTAACCGAGTTTACATTTTCTAGGGGTCAATAGAGAACAATCTGAATAGGTGTGTGGTCGGTTAAAATTAAAAGGGTGCTTAACATGAAAAGTGAAAAATTCACTTTCACTTCTCTATAATGCACTTTTGGTTCCAATACTCCACGTTTTCGCGGTAGCTGAAACATTTACTTATTTACAAAATGTTGCTTAATTTAGGCCTTTTCACGTTGTAGTATCTGATTAATTTTTTTGTTTAACAAGTGATTCACAAACTTCCCTCGTTAGTAGGTCACTATATCTTTGTTCTCTCATATTGTTTAAAAATCATCCAAGTAACAATTTTTTTTCACCATTATTTGTTCAGATACTCTGAGAGGTCAAGGGGTATAAATTCTATGATCTCACTACTAAAACTATAATTGAGGCGGGTAATGCTCGATTCTTTGAGGATATTGAGTTTGGGGGTGAGAAGATAAGGTTAGATATTTGGTCCTAGGGGAAGATCATGCTACTCTTGCTTCAATTGTCATTGAACATGATGTTTTCATTCTTAATGATGTTCAAGAAACAACTTCACTTCAAGACAATATCGAACACCTCCCCAATCAAATTACTGAATTTATTAATGAAGATCAAACTCGACAACTTCAAGAACTTGAGGTGAGATATCCACTCGAGAGATGAGACATGCAATTTCAGAGGATTACATTATTGTATTTCTCCTCAAACATGAGGAAATTTGGGAATTGGTGGAAAAAATAAGATGTTGTATTTCGTCCAGGAACAAGAATCAGATGTTGGTGTTGCATAAGATGATCCAATCAATTTTCATCAAGTCATGGAAAGTTCTAATTCTCAATAATGAATTAATTCCATGAAAGATTAGATGAAGTGTATGACAGTTTGAGTGACAATGACGTTTGAGAGCTTGTGCCATTGACAGAAAATGTCAAACCCGTGCCATTGACAGAAAATGTCAAACCCATTGGTTGTAAATGAATATTAAAATCAAAAGAGATTCAAAGGGAAATGTGATAAAGTTTAATACTTGTCTTGTTGCTAAAGGCTACACTCAAAAGAAAAGATTTGACTATAAATAGACTTTCTCTTTGTATCTTCAAAAGATTCTTTTCGGATAATAAGGGCATTAGTGGCACATTTTGATCTTGAGCTTCATCATATGTATGTAAAAACGGCATTTCTCAATGGTGACATTGAGGAATCAATCTATATGGAGTACCAGAAAAATTTGTTTTAGGATATCCAAATAAAATGGTTTGCAAATTAAAGAAATTTATCTATGGGCTCAAACAGGCTTCCTATTACTGGCATACATCAATAGAAAGCCTGTTTGAGCCCATAGACAGATTTCGTTAATTTGCAAACCATTTTCATTGGATCTCCTTAAACAAATTTTTCTCGTTAAAGAGATATAGAGGAGTTATAGTCCTCAGTTGGACACTCCTTTTCATTTCTTTCTGTATAAAAAGAGAAGTTATGTTCCCTAGTTGAATATTCCTTTACATCTTTCAGCTTATCATTCCCAGAAAGAAAATCTCGAGGGTGTGTATCAATTAGAAGATACAAACCCTAACATATGTGTAACACCGTCCCCAAATATATTTACCTTTATGTAAATTATGTATTGAACATGTTGTGTTGAGTAATGAATTTACGAGGTTGTAAATTTTTGTCGTTCTTTTTGCGTGAATAGTAAATTGCACGTGGGGCCCACACCGGGAACGGGGGCCACCCAATATTCTGAGTCCACATAATCTATTCATCTTGGTCTATATAATATAAATATATATATATATATGTTGGTGGATATTCATTAAGAAAGACATTGAGTCGATGGGTTGGTCAAACGAGGCCCAATTACTGGTTTTGGTAATTTATCGGATAACAGTCCGAAATGAATTTCGGAGACTTCCAAATTAAAGTTGGGGAAATTATACTCATTATGAAGGCCCGTAATGATAGAGAACATACTATGTATTTTATTTGAGCCGGTAAAATAAAATATAGTTAAAGCAGTCCGAGAAATACAACTTTTGGGGCCGAATGTACACGTCGGGACAAAATGGGATGACCTCCCACATGATTGGGGGCCACTCCACGTTTTTATGAGCCATTGAGACAAGGGAGGGCTGCTCAATGTGATAGGAAGGTGGCTGGAAGACCTCACTCTCACACTCATTTTCTAAGTAAGACAAGGAGGAAGGTCTCCTCACCCCCACACCCCTATCAACCATGACCAAGACATCAAGGAGAGAGATAGAGAGCTCTGCAAACCTCCATCTCCATAGACAAGAAAGCTCAAACAAGCAAGGAGCTCAAGGAAGACGAAAAAGTTGCAAAAGTAGAGAAAAACTTTGAGAATAAAGGTGAGAAGTTCCTTAACAACTTTTCTTCCATCTTTTGATTTTATATGACTTATACATCATATGGAATACCCTTAAGGTTGTTCTGCATGGTTATAAGTGTAGAACAATGGGTTGGAAGGTAGTTCTAAGTCCAAGAACGGACTTAGAAGGCAAAGCAATCGGTTCGCCGGAAAATAACCTTTTAGAGGTTATTTGTATTGATA